GATGTATTAAATCAATCATCGACATCTCCAGCATCATTTAAGAATTCATTTTCACATGTTTCGTCACGTGATACAACATCGCATGAAGCATTAACTGCTATTGTTATTAGTCAAAGTGAACGATTTCGTATTCGTAATGTTGAATTAGAGAACGTAATTCAAATAAATCGATTTTTTCCTATAAGACAAATCTTTTTTTTTGTATTTAGGAAAATGTTTCATTGAAACAACAAACGAATATATTTCAAAATGAAATGGATAAACTTCGATCGGACAATATAAAACTATATGAAAAAATTAAATTCGTTCAGAATTATCCTGTATGTATTCAGTAAAAAAAACTTTTATCCACTAAAATTGATTGAAATCTTATTTTAATTAAATGACATAACATCAGACACGTCCGCAGAAAAGTCCATCGTAGGAAAAGGTTATTTCAAATCTCTGAAAATTGTTCGACTTGTACTCCCCTCCAGGTATTTCAGTTTTTTGCGGGAAGGGGGGATCGATCCCACCTCTGCGGACGTCCCTGTATAACATACTAATGAATAGTGTTAGAGAGAATCTTTCTAAATGATAAGATGATTGAAAATCAGAAACACTATTAATATGATAGTTAAGAGATTCCTCTTAGAATAATATAATTGTATTGTATTTTTATAGACAACCCGCGGAACAGATGATCCTATTGATCAGTATTCACGTGGTTATGATGCATCATTGGATCCATTTACTAATTTTACGAAACAAGTATTGGATAATTTAATGTTTATATATAGATTTATATTTGATTTTCTTTCAAAGGAAAAACAAAAGAAATATGAATCACTTAAAATTCATGAAAAATTTGCTTTAAACTTTGGTAAATTTATTCTCTCATCACATCAAAGTCGAACATTTTTTGTCATTTATTTTATTCTCGTTCATATTCTTATCTTTCTTGTAAGTTAAATTTATTTGTAATATTCACATCGTTTTTTTTTGTTACTATTATTTTCATTCTAGTCTCTTTATAAAATGGTTCATGTTGGTTCATCCGTACGTGATATGTCACAAGTTTGTTTTGATAAGTATGAACTTTTCTTTTTTCTTTTATTTGAACTGAAATCAATTAACTTTTTATTTAGATTTCGAGAACATATGGCAGGTGTACATGGAGAAAAGAATTTTCATTTTGAACATGGCCATGCTCATGCTCCACCAGGTGTCGTTCTAGCTGCAGCACCACCACCTCATCGATAGACTTTGCATTTTATGCGTTAATTTTCATTTAAATATCGCTTCAAGATATTATCACATTCTACTAATTAATAAACACTTTCTACTAACATACAGAACTTTTTTTTTTACATATACAATTGTACATGATCGTTGATCTTACAAATAAAAATTTCAGAATTTATTTCTTCAGATTTTTGTAGTTATTGATTAGAGAGACAAGCAATAAACAGAATACATGAGAGTGATGAAAGGTTGAAAATTATTCTTGTTAAGTTAATAGATGCTATTGTTCATTTTAAGATAAAAGGTGAATGAGTATTTTTTTCAAAAACTTATATGGAAGCATTTCTCTAACAGTTTTAGTCAGACTTTTTCACAAATTTGCTTCTGTGTCGTAAATTGTATTTTGATGATTAAAATATTTTATTAGTAGCGGTCAGAAACTAAATCTTTCTATAGTTTTTTTAGAAAAAAAATAAAATTATTTTACTTTCCCCTAGATTTTAGGTTCCTCTATAATCTGTATATGATATATATTCATAAAAAATAGTATAATTTCAAATTATTCTACTAGATTTTGTACTTTATTCAGAGATCGATCATATAACAATTAACGTTTATCTTATTTTTTTTATCTTTTTTACATACGCTCGCCACTTAATTACTTTTAAATGAGCAGTCATTTATAATTGTTGAAAATATTATTCTAAACAAGTAAAATACACAATTACTTTAATATTTAATATAAACCTTGGACTTGTGAGGCAACAAAAATACAAAATAATCCATACTAACTATCTTTTGTACACCTACATGAAATCAGTCATACCTATTTCTTTTTCTTGCTGTTCTTACAGGTGAGATATTAGCTTTTATTTGTGTAGGTGTTTAAGAAGCATTAATACGATTATTATAAGCTAAAATATATTATTGCTTCGATATTTAACATCGATTTTATATTTATTGTTGGAGGTGGAGAATACAATACAACTAATTTTTATCTTATTATGTGCACCTACACATTAAATCATGTAGATAAAATATATCTCTCATAAGAGTAAGAGTATAATACTATTCGATCGAATATCCGATTATAATCATTGAAGGTTTCATCATATAAAGAGAGAACAAAAGATAATTACTTTTATCGAAATAGATTTGTTTATCATTACAACTTTGTTGACCTCTAATTGTGAATTTATCTAAGGACAACCTATTATCTAATACACTTTTATTTTAATA